CCTCGGAGGACGGAGGCTTCGCAATCTTTACTACAGGAGGGGAAGACTTAGGGTAGGCGTTACGAGCAGACGCCCAGTTGTCGGCAAGACAAACAGCTTCTGCAAGTGTCGCTGGCTGGTGTTCTTTCATGAAAATTCTCAAGTCTGGAGGTAGAGAAGACAAAAACTGATCTAATATCATGAAGTTAGAGGGAGACTCAATGGTTTCTTCAACCTCTGATGCCTCCAGGCATTGTTGAAACAAACGACCCAGGTGAATCGAAAACTGCTGGTACGTTTCTCCTGCTCTAATCTTCGTTCTACGGAAATCAACACGATAACCGTCAGAAGTCTTGTTAAATCCTCGCAAGAGAACTTGCTTCAACAAGAAGTAATCTCTGGTGATGTCGGCAGACAGGGACGTGTAAATTTCTACCGGTTTACCACTCAGTAGGCGACCGAACCTTACAGCATAGCTATCTGGGTCTACACCGAGCAGCTCGGCTACCCGTTCAAACCTAACAAGGTAGGAGGCGATGTCTTCTTCACGGTACACAGGCAAGCTGGGTTTTACCACATTGTCTCATTAATCCTAGCTGTTCTAGGTCCTTTTCTATCTGCAACTTAGCTAATTCGAACTCTCTTTCACTATTCCTGCTGCTTTCCTCCATCTCTCTCTCTTTCTGACGTGCCTCCATCTCTCTCTCTTTTTCTGACGTGCCTCCATCTATCTCTCTCTCTTTTTCTGACGTGCCTCCATCTCTCTCTCTCTCTTTCTGACGTACCTCCATCTCTCTCTCTCTTTCTGACGTGCCTCCATCTCTCTCACTCTTTCTGACGTGCCTCCATCTCTCTCTCTCTTTCTGACGTGCCTCCATCTCTCTCTTTCTGAAGTGCCTCCATCTCTCTCTGACGTGCCTCTCTCTCTTCTGACGTGCCTCCATCTCTCTCTCTCTCTTTCTGACGTGCCTCCATCTCTCTCTCTCTCTTCTGACGTGCCTCCATCTCTCTTTTGACGTGCCCCATCTCTCTCTTTCTGAAGTGCCCCCATCTGTTCTGAAGTGCCCCATCTCTCTTTCTGAAGTGCCCCCATCATCTCTTTCTGAAGTGCCCCATCTCTCTTCTGAAGTGCCCCATCTCTCTTTCTGAAGTGCCCCATCTCTCTTTCTGAAGTGCCCCCATCTCTTTCTGAAGTGCCCCCATCTCTTTCTGAAGTGCCCCCATCTCTCTTTCTGAAGTGCCCCCATCTCTCTTTCTGAAGTGCCCCCATCTCTTTCTGAAGTGCCCCCCATCTCTCTTTCTGAAGTGCCCCCATCTCTCTTTCTGACGTGCCCCCTCTCTTTCTGTCTCTTTCTGACGCCTCTCTTCTGACGTCTCTCTTCTGACGTGCCTCTCTTCTCTCTCTCTCTTTCTGACGTGCCTCTCTCTCTTTCTGACGTGCCTCTCTCTCTTTCTGACGTGCCTCGCTCTCCTTCTGACGTGCCTCTCTCTCTTTCTGACGTGCCTCTCTCTTTCTGATGTACCCCTCTCTTTCTGACGTGCCTCTCTCTTTCTGACGTGCCTCTCGCTTCCTGACGTGCCTCTCTCTTTCTGACGTGCCTCTCTCTGACGTGCCTCTCTCTCTTTCTGACGTGCCTCTCCTTCCTGACGTGCCTCTCTCTTTCTGACGTGCTGCATCTCTCTCCGGCATTCTGTTGGTGACCACATGCGGTAATCTCATTGCCTGTCAGACCCCAGGGCCACCCTTGACCTTTCAATACAAAACTAGACATAATGATCCGAAGGCCAAGAACAAAGGAACAAGCAAACAACTTTTGAAATAGCCAAGGTAACTCACCTAGTGGCTCAATCAGACCAATAAATGATTTGATCAGACTGGAGACCTTGTTCCGCACCCAGCCCAGCCGAATCACTCTCAGGGTAACTAAAAACCGCACCAGGTGAAACAACAACAAAATGCTGTGACAGCATCACGGTGCACCCCAATCAAATCAAATTAAGAAGGTCAGACAACACCACGCTCTTAAAAGCAAAGAAGACCTCCTCTAAAGAACATTGTGGGGTTAACGTGATGTTGGATCGCACTAGGTGTGAGAAGGGAAACTCTTCTATGGCGTTTTCTATATATATATATATATATATATATATATATATATATATATATATAATATACATATATATATATATATACATATATATATATATATATATATATATATATATATATATATATATATATAATATATATATATATATATGAATATATATATATATATATATGTATATATATATATATTTATATATATTGTTATATATATATTTATATATATTTATATATATATATATATTATATATTATATATACATACATATATATATATTTATATATATATATATATATATATATATATATATATATATATATATATATATATATATATATATATATCTTATATACAATGCAGTGCTGGGAGTTGCTGTGAGGAGCTTGTTGAGAGGTCTTGTCTGTTTGAGAGCGCTCAGTAGAATACCTTTCGGGTCGGTCGGTTATACGGAGAGAAGAGAGCATTAGCTCTGAGGTGTGCAAGAAGGGTACAGTACAAGGTAAAGTTCAGAAATGGGAAAAATAGGAGGAGGGTGACAGCAGGTGGGCTATCCACCTTGCGGAGACAAGGTTTTGTCTTCCGTCAACAGTGCTGCATTAGAGGACTCTTGCGGTTAGGGAAGGCCGGTCTCAGCCAAGCTAAGCTAACTTGTTCTATTTGATGTTTTCTTGGGGTATATTATATGTTAGGAGGGGGTCCCCCCAGGTCCTTGTGTCACTGGAGGGATGATCCCCATCTTTTTCGTTTCTAGTTTTTATTGTGGGTGTTTGTGATCTTTTGAGGTCTTTGTTTGTTTGTGGGGTCCCTCCAGGTCCTTGTGTGACTGGAGAGTTGTTCCCATCTTTTGGTTCTTTTTTTATTGTGTATATAGAGGCTCTGGTTCTTCATTCTTCTCACGGCCTTGTGGCGCAACTGAATGCTGCGTCTGACTACGGATCCAGAAGATTCCAGGTTCGAATCTGGCAAGGTCGGCTGTAATTTTTGGGGCAGGTTAGAGATAGGGGAGGATCGATATTGGTAGCCAGCTGGTGTGCCTAGAGGGATGGTCGTGAATGGCTGTCAGGAGTAATTACTATAAATTGCTGCCGTCCTGGAGAAAAAATTGTGCAAACAGTGGTTGGACATTCATTGATAACAGGCAAGCATTCTATAGCAACGAGTACCGGTACAGTCGTGATGGAGTACACTTGTCTCATTTGCGGGGGTAAAGACGTTGTCTGCATCCTGGGCGTAAATTGTCCTCGAGTTTCGCCAGTAGATATTGATTGATTGATACGTTTATTGAGATACAAAAAACATTAATACATCTCAAATGGATGAAGTGACATAAGTCATCCCCACCCCAGTCCAGGAATGTCCCTCTCAGGACTCACATAAATCCCTAATATTTCATATAATCAGTTATAGTACATAGTTATATTCTAGATGCAAAATTTCTATATTTCTTTAATATTTCATCTATTTTCCTATTTTTAAACATCCACTCTATTTGCTTGGGGACATTATTTATTTGGGCATTTCTATATACATTAAGCAATGGGCATTCCAGTATATAATGTGGCAGGGTATGGGATCTGGATGTTCTACAAACTCTACATTCTTTATCCTGTTCACTTCTCTCAGCACCAAGTTCCCAATAATATTTATATCCTAATCTTAACCTCATATACACTGAATCTTTCCACCTACTCCTATCTTTCCCATATGTAAATTTTGTGTTCATGAGAACATGATGGTAATGTTTCATTGTTTCACTTTTCTCGTATATTTCATTCCTTTTGAAATTATCTTCTATTGATTGTATTTTCCGTAATTTGCTCCTTAATTGTTTCAAGGTTTTATTACATATTATGTCGATCTCGGCCTTTTCCGTGGCTCTTTTTGCTATTATATCTACTGCTTCATTAAGACCAATGCCTACATGTGAAGGGACCCATACAAATCGAACACTATGGCTTTTTTTTCCTTATTGTATTTAATAATTTTCTACATGAACCAATAATGTGTTCAAAGACAGGACTCCCACTGTTCAAAGAATCCAAAGCTGCCCTATTAATTATCAACCAAAAAATATGCATCTTTATTCCTCTTTACAACATTTTCCAATCCTACTAACATTGCAAATAACTCAGCTTGTGTTGATGATATAAAATTGCTCAGCATGAGTCCAATTTTGGTGTCATCAGTACCTTGTTCTGTGTACTGTCTTATAAGGATCCCGCACCCTGCCCTGCCACTTGACATTACTGAACCGTCACAATATACATGCAATGTGTTTATTTTAGGCAAATTACTAATCTTATTCACATATAAAGCCCTTAACTGTCCTGGTTCATGTAATGATTTCTTCACTGTGAGAGGCACTATGTCTAACTCTACTTCTTGTTCTTCCCAGGGTGGATCCTTTCAAATTTTCTGACCTTGCAACTAATACTCCTGTGCATGAACCCAAATACTTTGTTAGTCTTGTTTCGAGTAAATGCACATTGTTGACTTGGTTTAAGATTCCTACTTATTATTACTCCTAAATCTTTCTTGCAGCTGGATTTCTCTACAGTATAACAACGTTGTTCATCTGATATCTAGTTTCTCTGTTTACATCTCTTAGACTAAGTACTTTACATCTGTACACATTAAATTTCATGTGCCACATCTGTCTCCGTTCTTCCTCTTCGCCACTTCCCTGTTTAATTCCGTGTTCCACTATACATATTTTACTTTTTAAATTATTTCTACTGATGGATCGATATCTCATTGTTTTATCAACAAGCTGTTAATTGTTATTGGTATCTTGTTGTTATTGTTTGTCATTACTCTTGTTATATTGTTATTTCTGTGATAATTTAGTTATTTAGTTTATTGTTTTATTATTGTTATATTGTTAATAGTTAACATCCAGGTGATTAGATAACAAGAATTATTTTCTCTTATTGTTTATTATCTTAACATTACTAACAACAACATATGTGTTTTATTGCATAGAAAAATATATTCATAACATAATATTTAATAATAATTTATATAGTAGCAGTTCATTTGTTGAACCGTCGTCGACCCTCAACATCATGCTGCGTCAGATCATGAATGGTCCGCCTATGAGCGAGGATGACGGAGTTAGCTAGTTTATTGGAGGTCAGATCACTAGCATAGATGGTAGAGGTCAGGTCAAGAAAATGAAGGTTCAGGTCACTGGCATAAATGGTAGAGGTCAGGTCAAGACGGTGGAGGTAAAGTAGGTGGTCACTACTCACTAGCCAATAGGGTGGTCAGGGCAGTTACACTCGGGTCCTCCCACACCCTCCTGGCACGCTTCCTTGCAGTATTCTATAAACGGGTCCAGGGTTGTGGTGCTCAGGGTGTTCTGGATGCCACCTATCCTTACCACGGCGCTATATGCCTTCCTCATGGTGCTACTTGGCTTCATCATGAAACCACCAGGCTTTATGATGATGTCACTTTTATCTCCTGTAACCACTGGGCTGGTAAACTTGTTAAGGGCAGCATCGGGCAGGGCAGGGCTGTTGGCGGCAATATCGGGCCGGAGACGGGCCTTAACTTCAGGGCCTGGGAGGGCAGCGGCATTAACTTCAGGGTGTGACAGGACAGCGGTGTTAACTTCAGGGTGTGACAGGATAGCGGCGTTAACTTCAGGGTGTGGCAGGGCAGCGGCATTAACTTTGGGTTGTGACAGGGCAACGGCGTTAACTTCAGGATGTGATAAGGCAACGACGTTAACTTTAGGGTGTGGCAGGGCAACGGCGTTAACTTCAGGATGTGACAAGGCAACGACGTTAACTTTAGGGTGTGGCAGGGCAACGGCGTTAACTTCAGGATGTGACAAGGCAACGACGTTAACTTTAGGGTGTGGCAGGGCAACGGCGTTAACCTCAGAGTCTAGTGGGGCAACCTTGTAAATCTGAGGGTCGGCCAGGTCAGGCCTGTTGACGGTAGTACGTGGCAGGGTAGGGGCGTTAACTTGAGAGTGTGGGAGACAACGGGCGGCGGCACCAGTCACCATCACCAGTACCAATATTCTTGCCGCCATCTCTGCAGGATAAAACAAACACAAACATTGTATTTAACTTGCCCGTATCCTTTAAAGAATCTGAACTTCTAACTATCCATAATAACGGTACCTAACGCTGTGTTAACAATCTACCATTAATTTAATGTTAAACTGTTAACGAACTTTGAGTGACACATTCGGATGTCGTGTCACGCTCTCACGCCAGGGTCTGACATTCTCATTCAAGCCTTTTCGAATTTTGAGCGTAAAGAATATCGATAATCTTTCTTAAAGTCTTATACATCTACTAGGTTTAACATTGTTATTAATTGATCATACATTGTTTTGTTGTATGGGTCAATGCTGCCAAAATTTTAATGTAGGCGATAATATGACTGTAGAGTATTAGTTTAAATTAACTCAGCTTACACACTAATATAATAATAATGGTTGCCTCTCGTGTAACGAGGATGGCCAGCCCAAGGGCCACCTAGGCATGAATTTGTTTAACGTGTAGAAGCTGTCGCCAACACAACAACCACACCCTGAGTTAATGCGCTGCATGACCCAGTGTCAAGGAATAGTCCGAGAAGACCAGACAACTCGCCAACTGCACTGGCTAACCATTACCCCAGAATACGATCCGCAAATCAATTAACACTCAGGTCCCCAAAAACTGCTGGCTAGACAGAGGCAAAATGATGTAAAGAAACAAGCCCATAGTTTCACCCTGCCCGGCGATTGAATCCGGGTCCACTCACTTGCAAGGCGAGCATGCTGACCATTACACTACAGGTCGCCAGTCACACACACACACATATATATATATATATATATATATATATATATATATATATATATATATATATATATATATATATATATATATATATATATATATATATTGAAAACTGATTATATGATCTAAATTGTTTAATTTATTCCGTTGTGTGATTTTAATAAATTTCATATATTACATAACTGTACAGTACATTACTGTACTATTTAAATGGAGATTATAACCACTGAAATTCTCAGCCCAGGGCCTCATGAATGCTTGATCCGGCCCTCGGTCCTTACCACTACACCAAAAGGAACTCTATCCTCAATCAACAAATTCCCTCTAATTAATCTGTCTATTTATTATTTTATGAAATTATTTTGTTAAATTGGAATATTCACACAACTAATCATATAAAGAAAAGTCATGGATGTTTTTAAATTGATTGTAAGAAAGTTTTTTCCTTCACTGTGTATTGTGATAATGTGTGAATATTATGACTCACCTGTAGTGCCGTTAAAACTCTTGTCGAGTTCTCTAGGTTGAAATCAGGCTGAAGGTAGAAAGAACAAATAATTGACAGTTATTTTGAGGTTGGCGATGTTTGTGAAGCTGGAGTTGAGATAGAGAACGCTTGTTGCCTTGTGTATGTTGTAGAACGGCCGCCACCCCTTTATATAACGAGCCAACCACACCTGTCAGTCCTTGTCTCCGCACATCTCTTGTCTTCCCGCCCTTGACGTCATCACCCGCCAAAATGTCGAACTCCAGGAGTGGTTTTGGCGCCACCTGTCCCTTCAAGTATCTTACTGACGTCATGCATTCACCTACTCTTACCCCGCCCATCCACAACAAAGAAGTCACCGCCGTTATCAATACTGTACTTGATCTTCCATTCAGGATCTGCCCCACCACTTGTTCTTCCCATCAACACTTGTTCTTCCTATCATCACTTGTTCTTCACCACCAACACTTGTTCTTCACCACCAACACTTGTTCTTCACCACCAACCTTTCCACTGCTCACTTGTTCTTCCCCTGCCCACTTATTTCTTCCCCTGCTTACTTGTTCTTCCCATCAACACTTGTTCTTCACCTGCTGTTTCCTAACCTTGTTCTTCACCATAACACTTGTTCTTCCTATCAACACTTGTTCTTCACCACCAACACTTGTTCTTCACCAACATTTTGTCTTCCCTGCCAACACTTGTTCTTCCTATCAACACTTGTTCTTCACCACCAACACTTGTTCTTCACCAACATTTGGTCTTCCCTGCCAACACTTGTTCTTCACCACTGTTATGCCATAACTTATCAACTTGAATTACGTTAAAGATTAATATTCTAATGAGGGCAACTATGGCACAACAACAACAACAACAACAACAATTGGCAACATTGTAAACAAACAATCGACCGTAAACTGGAGATTGTATATTTCGTTGGGCTTCTACATACAGCTTTAGAAGACGTCTAAGGTGGGTTTGCACATTAAAGGTCATGTTGTATAAGTGTCCAGTAATATTAGTGGTAGTATAATAAATAGGTAACTTAATGCTGCAAACTGATGCCTTGAAGACTTTCCAAATAAATGGTTAGGATGATTCTATTGTATCCCCTATTAACTCGACGTAATCTTGAGGTTTCAGACAACTAGAGTCGAGTTAGGATATTTTCCCTAACATGGTGACTCTTATTTCCAAGTGACTATTAATTTGTAATATCAATAACATACGATATGGTAGGTCACCAGCATCCCCTCACCGATGCTGCTTCCCTCGGTGTTATCCCACTTGAACGATCGTCTGTTTTTTGCGATTTTTACCATCTGTGTTAAATAATCACGTTATGTCAGGGTAGGATGGGTAAGGTTAGGTTAAGTTACGTTAAATTGCATAAAACAGACGATATTACAAGTAGTATGTATTCTCTTCCCTCACACTGGGAGTTGACAATAAGGGTAATCATATAGGACTAACCTGCGAGTGAAGTTGATTGAAAACAATGACTAAAAACCGCCGGATTTTCATTGTTATATTATAGTGGACACTGTTGTAGTTTTTGGAAATATGTTAAAAATAGATATTTTTAAAATAAATTTTACTTAACATTTGTGGGTATGAAGAACAGACCTAACCACCAAACCAAAAAAACCTACCTAACCTTACCTAACTTCCCCGGTATTTTAAACAGAAAGATTTAGGAGTAATGATAAGTATGAATCTTAAGCCAAGTAAACAATGTGTATTTGCTCGAAACAAGGCTAATAGAATACTTGGGTTCATACAAAGGAGTGTTAGTTACAAGACTAGCGAGGTCACCTTAAAACTATATCTTGTGCTTGTGAGACCCCACTTGCATTACGCAGTTCAATTCTGGTCACCGTATTACAGAATGGATATAGAATCCTTGGAAAGAACTCAGAGAAGAATGACAAGAATAATCCCGGGCATTAAAAGCCTTGAGTACAGAGACAGGTTAAAGCATCTTAATTTGCACTCCCTCGAGAGACGTAGAGTGAGGGTCTATATGATAGAGGTGTATAAATGGAAGTAAGGGCTGAACAAAGGGGACATTACAAAGGTACTCAAACTATCCATCCAGGAGCGAACTCGTAACAATGGTTTTAATTAGAAAAAAATTTAGATTTAGGCGCGAAATAGGTAAACATTGGTTAGGAAATAGAGTAGTGGATGAGTGGAACAAGTTACCAAATATCATCGATAACTTGAATACGCTGGATAGCTTCAAGTTGTTGTTGTTGAGATTGTCGGACCGTAGTCCGACACGGGCCT